CAAGTGCATTGCCTAGCGAGCGGAGCGCTTCAACGATCAGATCTAAATTGTTCCTACAACCTACATACTTGATACACTCAGTGCTCATACGACCGACTGTTAGCAGATTTATTCCACTTTCAGGTGATTAGAAGCCCGTTTGCACGAGCAGAAAAAAATTAGTCGTTAAGACTCATTGTATTATTCCTCACCACGGAAATCTTTAGTAAAAGGCGAAAGATTTATTCGTTTGATGATGAGGAATCAGAGTTGAATGCAAACTGAAATAAGTATTGCTTATAACTGTTTGTTACTATAAAATAAAAGAGGTGAATGAAGGGTCATGCAAGAGGTGAATCATTTCTTCTATTTTTTGGAATATATTTTGAAACGTTTCGTCCGTCCTGTAAGCAAAATAATATCAGCTTCAAAACTATCTCTTATATTATTTTGTTTCTTACAAAATATGCTGTCCCATTCTATCTCATCTTATTTTATACGGTTTGGTGCGGGCAGACGAAGAAACATGTCTTGTTTTGCCGGAGAGAGTGAAATTTGTGAAATTCTTTGTTGAAATTGGACATCTTTTTTCAGTGAGTGAAGTACGGACTCACTGAAAAAAGATGTCCAATTTCAACAAAGAATTTCACAATTTTCACTCTCTCCGGCAAAACAAGACATGTTTCTGTCTTCTCTTATTTTTCGTCTGCCCGCATCAAACCGTATATAAACAGCTACGTTGAACTACGGAATATCATTCTTTACATGAGCATTTACTGAAGAAGAATTCGAATCTCGTGTATACTGTCCATTTTTCTATTATTAGGTTTCTTTGTCGTATCTCTTTTAACAATACATATTTTACTATTAAAAATAAAAACAACATACTATAAAACAGCTTTTTATCAATTAACCAAGCAACATCGTTTTATATTCATTCCTTTCATTTTTGTTCATCCTTTGACTTCTTTCGCTTTATTTCATCTTCCATGCTTCTTTTAGTACATAAAAAAATAAAAAATAAATTATGCTCTGTAAATCAATATGTGAGAAACCCTAGTTTTCTGAAAGCCCTACTTCTGGCATTTTTAAGACTATTTCGAGTTAATCATCAGACAGGATATCATTCAAAACCCATAAGTACTGAGATTTATAAAAATTCATTCAGCTCTTCATACTGTAAAAATTGAAAAGTTTCTCGTGATACACACCTGTTCAGTAACAGGATAGAGGAAGACCACTTTGTTAATCCAGAAGCCTTTAATTTAGCTGAGATGAGGAAAAGTCTTTAAGTTCACGGCACTCCTAGCAACTCGGAGCACTTCGACACTCTGCTTAGTGGCGAAGTTTTTATGAGATTCCTACGAATCTCTAAAGTATGAGATTCCAACAGATATGTTGGACGATCTGGAAAGACGAGCAACAACCCAAGAAGCATAGGTGATCATCTTACATTCTTATTTATTTCAACATTAGAATAATAGTAAAATAAGCATTGACAAAATAAATAAACGAGAAAACAAAGAAACAAAAAGTTAAGCTATATATATTACAAATATTTGCAAAATGAAAACTGCTTATTGAGTCAAAATCAGGTCTATCGACATACTTACAAGCGGGGATTCTAAATAAATGGTCAATTTTTTTTAAAATTTTGTTGAAACTTGTCATATGTGTTGCAATACTGATTAGACTAAATAAATTCGATTACATAATGTTGATGTTGTTCGACATATAGGACCTAGAACAGAAAAATAACAAAAATCACAGTAAGTTCGGTGTAGGCCATAACACAAGACCAATCACTTGTATGTCTAGTTTTTGTGCAAATTCTCTCAGAAGTATAGGTGTTAGTGAGTTTTGGATGCTTTACCTTTTTTACGATGTGCAGATATGATACGATTGCCTGTATAAGTGGTACTGTTTACATATGCTTCTCAGTTGAGAATAATCGAACTTACATGTTTTATTTCCCTTATCATGCATCGCTGTCGCACATTGAAAACACAAACAAAGATGACCACATGGAATTAGGACAGTGTCTATTAGACGGTCGAGACAGACGACGCAATCTTGTGGTAGTCTAATTGATTTTGTTTCTGATGTTGATGCATTACTCAATTGACGATTTAATGATACTGGCGAAAAATTCGATGATGAAAGCTCTTGTTGTCTCGCACGAAGTTTTTCTATATTTTTAATTTTTCCAATTAGTCGTATAGCTAGAACATCTTGTTTCAACACAAGAAATGGGTACAACGATAACGTTTTATCAATATGTATAAAATCCTGCAACAGACTTGAATTATGTGATATTTGTACAATGCCGTCTGACGTTAGCGTAAATAAATATGCATCATTCCTCTCAAATGGTTTCACTTTTATTAGATCATTCAATATCCAATATTCAGATCGATTTATTAATTGATCAATATCACGTGGCAAATCTGATTGTTGTAAACGAGTGGTATTTACATTTGTCAAACCAAGTTGTAGTGTAGACGTCGAACGTGTAGTAGAATTATTGACATATAATATTTGAAATAGGTAGGCGGAATTAACTGCTAGAGGTTCAGGAAGAAATACAATTCCATCTGTCGATTGTGGATTTTCTAATATGGCAATAGAGCGGTTAGTGTTACCAAAAAGGGTAATCGATGGTCCATGTGTTGGTAAAAATTCAGATGGTTGTACAATTGATTGGTATTCTTGAAAATGGCGTTGCTGTTGATCATAAGCATATTGTGGATACAACTGTTTTAATTGATCATATACAGAAGAAGCTGGACGATTTGGATCTTCTACAATTTCAATACTGATGGTGTTGCCGTAGACATCAAACAATGCCCAAAGTGGTTCACGTACAGCTATTCCTAAAAGACAAATTATATGAGAATAAAGCATTTATGCATGAAAAAATAAACAAACAAATAGACCTGTTAACAGAGATATTTCACCAGTTGGAGTATTCAAAAATAAATCACCATCTTCAGTCACGTAAAAGTATGTAATCCGCGTGGTTGTATCAAAACAATTTTCCGGAACACATTTTGCCCAATAACCTAATTAACACAAAAGTTAACTAAGTATACATCTATTTTTTCAGGTCAAAAAGAGAATACTGGTAAACAAATTTGTTTGGTCTTCTTACCAGGTCGACAAGTTAGATCGGGACAGGCGTGTCTTGGTAATGAATTGGGATTTGTGCGATGTGTATTTGGATCAACTGTGGTCACTCCAATACGTAAAAACCCTAGAAAAAACAAGCGTAATAGTCATTACTATTCTGTTTCGAGTAACATGTGTATATATATATATATTACCTGTCCACTGAACAGCCTTTGTCACAAGATGAATGAAAATCTTTTCTCTTATGGCAATATTACGATCGCTAAATGTTATGCCTTTACAGAAACTATCCACACGTTTCGCAATCGTCATATTTCTTGTTAATTGAATATTTTCTCCATGAACCGTATGAAAACGTAACGATTGATTCATTTCTTAATGTATCTAAGTAAAAAAAGCGATGACACGAGCATTTAGAAGCTTTTTGTTGACAAAATTGTCTATGTCATGATAAGAATGTCTATTAAAAACACTAATTTAAACGTTTGCACGTGTATGCTTCTCTTCTGAAATACGTCCTATTTTCTCCGAACATGCATTAAAATACTCGTTGAACCTAAGTTACCTTGGCAAACAAAGTAAGTATTTAAAAAATCCACTTACGATAGGGAGAACTGTTTCTTGCTTGCTGAAATTTCTTTTTAAAAATTCAATCCTCCCTAACAGTACAAAAATTCCGATAGAAAAATTACATAATAATGTATGATGTTGGTCGGAATACGCTAGAGTATGGCATGGTGGTAGGAACAGAGTTACATGTAAATAACAGGAAAGATTTGGTGTCCATTACAGACTTGTGCCTCTTATGAAACATCAAAAGGAAAATACAGTTATTTATCTTTCTTTAAATGAGGAGGATTCTATTATACAGTGTCTTGTAGAATGCTTTGTGCACAAACTATCAACTACACGTAACTTTATTTGGCCAAGAGATGCCGCAAGTGTAGGGAAAAAAGTAGAATTCATTGTTCTTGTCTAATTATAAATAGACACTTTATTATTGTTCTTCATAATTTCTTTGAGCTTGTTAAAAATGGAGGAAAATAATACAATTGTACAGCAATGCTATGAAAAAATTCGCCGTACGCTCAGTGCTTTATAAACGAATCGAGAAATATTCATGTTCAAATCGTTTAATTGACATCTAAGAAGAGATTGATTTTTGCATCTTATGAGGTAATTCAATATTTTACTTTTGCTACATGCTGAATATGCCTCTTATTGTCCAAGCGTTATCTTTTACATGAATAGAAAGTATTATTTTTCTTTTCACACCAGTTATATCCTAGACGAAAATCTCAAGAAAATACTGCGACATTTCCGTTATAGGGTTTCGTCAAAAAGGACTCTATGTCTGAGTACTTCTGCACTTTTTTTCTAAACAAGTAAGGTATCGTACTCGATTTTTAACTATGTCCTAGTCCACTTTCCCTGATGAAATCTCTGATGAGTCCCCGAAATAATGTAAAATCAGAGGACGTTCTCAGGGATTCCCTTTAGAATCCCTGCTGACCCTGATTTTCAGGGAGTGGGGAGAAATAATGAAGTCCCTGGTGATTCATGGGTGACTCTCTAGGGATTTCTTAGGGAGAATGTACAACACATTCACCCTTTTGTTTTGCGTCTGCAGAAGTATATAAAACGTGAAAATTTAAACAACGGCATCTCTTTTCTTTAGATTAATTTCTTTTTCCTTAGACAAGTGTAGCTGCCTGAGACTTGTCGTTTCAATGTGAAGTTGTTGTTGTGTCAAGGACCTCCGTGCGGTGGAGAAATAATTTTGAAAATTTTCAGAAAATAGTTCACTTTTTGTTTTTTGTATATTTGAAGGGAAGGGGTGAGAATTATGTGAGAATTATGCATCACGAATCAGTTGCTTAGAAAATTTACTCACCGTTGATTTATCCTATCCATTCAACAAATAGATGAAAATCTGTTTCGTGCATATAGACAATTAGTCACAATTAATTTTACTCATACTTTTATTGATGTCATGCTAACATCTGATGTTTTATTCCTTGCCAGTTTAGATCCACCATAATTCTGATAGATTTTAGTTTCAATCATATACAATCCGTTGATTTTTTATTGATATTTGTCCTGATAAGTAAAACTTTTCTTAGCACAAAGATAAATAAGAATGAGGATTCCTGTTGTTTCACTCTCAGTTATTGTTATTGCTGCACTTGTCGTTGACGGCTAGTAGGTTGGTGAAGGTAATATTGAAATATTTTAGTGTCATTGGTTAATGAGCAAAATCATGAATAATTTGTGGGCAACCTATAATTCGAGCAATTTTCTGTTGGGTATAATATATTACTGACACACTGTTGTCCGGCCATTTCTGTTGGATAACTACAGATTGGGTGTAATAATGGTGCTTTGCCATTACCAATGAGTGAAAATAATCTAGGATTATTTGGATCATCAATAACTTGAAGTAGATTATACGACTGACAATTACATGTCAAGTTATTTCCCTGAAGTTGTACAGCCAATAAATCAAGTATAAAATTAAATTGTACTATCGTGTGCACTACATCCCAAGCAGACAAACATTTGGAAAAACGCGTTTAAACGCTCAAAAGGAAACCGCGATTGTGAGTCAGTAACGCTTATTAAAAAAACGCAAGAAACGCGTTTTTTGCGCAAAATTTTCACTTTCAGACTGTGAAAACGGCGAAAACCCCCGTTGTTGAGCGTTAAAACGCGCTTTTATTCCAGAATTTAAAAACAATGAGTTTTAACGCTCAAAAACTGGAGTTTTCGCCGTTTTCACGGTCTGAAAGTGAAAGTGAAAGTTTTGCGCAAAAAACGCGTTTCTTGCGTTTTTTTAATGAGCGTTACTGACTCACAATCGCGGTTCCCTTTTGAGCGTTTAAATGCGTTTTTCCAAATGTTTGTCTGCTTGGGATGCACCAGGCATTTCCAATAATAGATTCGATATGTTAGTTAAAGCAAAATAACGAGCATCCTGATCGTCTTTTGATGATTGACATCAATTGGTATCGTGTTTATGTAATCTTTAATTCAATTATTACTTAAATTAACTGCCATATCACGACCTAAAATATTTAACAATAAATCATTCTTATTTATCTTTGTGCTACTTCAACGACCAGTACAACATCAGTGATAATCGGTGCTGTTTTATGTTTTGCACTCCTAATTTTACTTGCTCTATTATTATGTTTTATACATGATGATACAAAAGTTCGATCAAAATTATCATCCACTTATAACTTATAGAACAATGACAAAAATTAGATGAAGAGGAAATGAAATTTAGTCAATGGATTAATTTATCTATTATCATTAGTAGTGACATATTACCATGTATAACGGCTGTCTTGTCCGATATTCGTAATAATTCTGATATAATATCGAATCAACAACAACCGACAGTGGATAAACTAAAAGATTTCAAACGCTAGTCAAGTACAAGCATTTGATGACGATATAAATAAGACGTAACAAATAAGACACAAATAAGACGTAAACAACAAACAAGACGGTCATTTACAGTAGATAGATGTGGTGATTAAAACGTGGAGATCATCGACTATTTCAAACATTGCGGAATAATAATTCGGAAAATGAAATATTTGATTCGCTGCCACCTACCTTCATTCGTTGTGAGTATTCAATTATGTTCTGATATTATGATGATTTTCCGTTGTTATTATTCTTTTAGCTGTCTTGACCATGAACAAATGGATATGATCAATACCTCCTAAACGTGAACTCTCGATACTTACTAGTCGTGGTATGTTAAAGGTATTCCAGTGAATCTTGAAACCGAATGATGTTGCTACTACTCACATTCGTCTAACAAAACTCGAATTGAAATCGACTAGTGATACACCATCAACTTGTGCAAAAATATTATTACCAAATGTTAAAGAAGAGATGTATCTTGACACAAATTTTAAAAGTTTAACTACAACATTATTACGTGGTAAATGGCAACAACGATATTCATCGAAAATAAAATCACAATGCCAAGATCATGAACAACGAGAAAAAATTGATAGCAGAAAAAAACATCGTTCACAATGTTAACTAAAAAGACTACGTTCAACATAAAAGACGTAAATAAAATTGATAATAGTGAGATTATTGATGGACGATGATGAGAATGTAAATGTAAAAAAGTCAGCAAAGTCCAAACGTACAGTATCATTATTGAATATATCGATCGTACCATCAAACGCCTGGGTTACTCCATATCCAACAGAGTCAGATATCGGAGCATCTATATATTTTTGAAATTTTGTCTATATACTTTATTTGAAGAAGTAGTTCAGAAGATAACTATCATATGAATTTCTCAGAGTTTAGACCTGCGTATCAGTCATACCACTTCAGCTACATTGGAAACATTCTGCTAAACGTTGAATTTGATTTTGATTCTAAAGTGAAAACGGATATGTAAAGAAAAAGAACAATAAAACAAAAGAGCACTATATATCAACAATATAAAGAGAGAGCTCTTATTTCGGGCAGTCTACCGAAGAATGAAAGTTACTGGATTATTTGCCATTGTTATGAATAATCCACACATAAAACAAACAACGATGTTTTTGTAACAATACAAATCGACTATTCTAAACAATTAGTACTTAATATTAACACAAAAATTAGCTATTTACTATAGGTATCCTTGCACTAAAGGGACGAAACAATATTACCGATGTGTCATGAATTACAAAACGTTATTATCGACCAGCACTGTGTAATACGCGTTCTAATCCACTCTGATTGAGTATATTAGCCACGTTAGCGCCAGGTTCCGCTCCGGATCCAAATTCAAAAAATCCTCCTTGAGCACCACCTTCACGTTGCTTTTGATAATTTATTGGTATGTCTCCACCATATGATGTTTCACCAGTCTGGTATCCAGACACACTTTGAAAATCTTGTCCACCTCCGATTGATGATTCATAACCTGTCGAGTGAGCCATTCTACTATAGATATCGTTATTTGTGCTGTAATAATCACTCTCTGCGCCTCCGCCGTATCCACCACCCAAATATTGATTATCGTGGTTGGATCCAGCATCAATCGTTCGGCCAGTATTAAACATGTGTGATTGATAGTTTAGAGAATCGACGGTTGTGTAAGCAGGACGAATATTAATTCCTGGTGGCATTCCACCTTCAAATGTTGGGAAATTGCCCTCGCCCCCGTTCTGAAAGGCACTATTAAATGCTTCAACAGCACCGTAATCGATATTCAATATAACATCTTTAAATGCATCAGGGCCGAGTAATTCATTATACACCATATGTGGCGGTATCGCACCTGGGAATCTAAATTGAAAATAAAATAAGTTATTATTGTGAATTTCTCAAATTAACCGCTATAAACGCTTACTGCTGTCGTGGTGATGTTGCTATGCTTTGTGGATATTGCTGAGGAATGCTGGGACGAGTTTGCGAGCTCAACCCCGGACTGACTGGTCCGAGAGGACGTTGTTGTTGAATCGAAGCACTTCCAGGGCTTTGCGCACTGCCTCCTGAAGATGTCGATCCAGAGTAAGGACTTATTTGTGGCCTTGATGGAGGAGCTTGCGGTCCCGCTTGTCGAGGACCGACATTAACATTAATTTGTGGCAGTTGCTGGAAGTTTTGTTGACCGAATCCACCATGTTGAGGTAACGGAACATTCGGACCACGTTGAAAATTAGGCACAGGAGGTCTTTGAACACCTGGAGAGAAATTGCCTTGAGGAACTCCTTGGGGTCGTGGACCATAGCCTTGTTGCTGCTGTTGTAGGGAAGCGCTGTAACCGCTTTGTTGGCTGCCAGCATTTGGCCCGAACGGCAAAGAAACACCTGGTCTAATTTGCACTTGTTGCTGGAAATTTGGTGGAGGTAGCCGTGCACCCGATGTATCAGGTCTCAGACCTTGTCCTTGTTGTCGTATACCATATTCTTGTGGTCTGAATTGAGCTTGCTGATGCATTTGCGGAGCATTTGGACCAAAAACATTAACACTAGCGCCAGGTCCTTGATTTGTTGGACGTATAAGTGGTGGAGCACCACTAATTTGATTTTGTGCAAATTGCCCTGTCCGCGGTGGCTGTTGGTACGTTTGTTGCGAAGTGCTTACTGATGACTGTCGGCCAGTCGAAGATGTACCGGTTGCAGTTGGAGCGATACTGGTAGAGTCGTAGGGTGTACTTTGACTTCCTGTCGCACGTGATTGAGCGGTCGTTGAAACATAACTAACCGTTGGTGAAAGAGTACGCACTTGTGGTGACGTTCGAGCTGGTGATGTACTTCGAATACTTGTTTCTTCAAAAATACTTGTCACAGTATTTGTTTGAGATGGTGAACGTTGATGAGAAGGTGAATGAGAATGTCTGCTATTTCGTGTTGAATGTCTTGATGTTTCACTTTGTAAATGAGAACGATCTCTTGACGACGTATGTTCAGTGATTTCCGACGAACTAGACGATGATGATCTTCTGGATGTCATTTCAACAGCTGAAACTGGAATTTAAATAAAATCAGAATAAATCGAACAATAAAGTTTACTGTCTGTCATATTTTCACTATGATATTTAGAACATTCAAAAAAACTCTACTGTGATAGTTAAAGATTTTTAATATCGATCATTTAATTGAAGAGACTTTTTGTAAAAGATATGTCCACAGAAGTAGTACTTGTTCGTTTAGAAAGAGTTAACATATAGAATTTAAGACATTTACTCAACATAACAACATGAAGCGTGGCCTTGTAATGTGTGAACTATTTAATGATATTTACGTATTTATTTTAAGCTTACTGTATTCTGATTTAACAACAGCATATGATAAGTGTTGTACCTACCTACTGAGGTTTTTTTGTCACTTTTTGGCAAAACGTTTTATGTCTTTTGGCCTTCTCTTTTCTCAGTGATGAGAGAAAGAGACACAAAAAGGAAAAATGATCAGTTTAGCACTCAAAATTGTGATCGCTAGTGCGTGACTTATGCTCATAATAATCTAGTTAAACAGAAAATATCAAAGATACATATAACCATACTTTGAACGAAGTAAAAAAATTTTTGTTGTCTCTTCTTTCGGTGTGTTAAATTCTTCAGTTACTATACTAAACTGATGTGTCTTTCTCTTATCTATGAATAAAACGGTACAATATACATATACAATATTTGAATCTTTTTACCAAATGATGATGTGGGTAGTAACAAAAAAAATCAATAAGGAGAGTTTTTTATTATTCATACTATTTAGGGCATATAATTATAAATAAATTCTAACCGTTCGCTGACCTCGAACAATGAACTAAATTTGCTCTTCACACTTAAACACGGCTTTAACGATGCTTTCACACATAATGAACTAGAAATATCTGAATGAAGAGGACTCGTCTAGTATCAAACATCGTTCATTTCACCGTCGTTGTTACCATAGATCCTAGAAGCAACTAGAAGAAAGTTATCTCAATTCAATTATACTAGATGACGTTTCGAAATGAGGATATCTTCTGTATAAAAAAGTTTTTTCAGGCGTTTAGGAAAACGTTTAGCCTATGCTCTATAATGATAATTATATCACTGATCCCATGCACGAAATTTCTACAGAAAAACCGCAAAAGCGGTCCAAGCGGTTTTTTCTTCAGCGGAAAAAATGCCCTGAAACGGAGTTTTCGGTTACATTAGCCGCTTTGGACCGGAAAGAATTGCACCGAAATCTATCGGTGCATCTTTCAAACCGTTTTCGTTTTCTTAACCGCCCAGAGCCGCGTTTCACAGTGGGCAATTTTCCATAGGCAGGCGGACATTTGGTACAACATAGTTCCTCTTCAATCGAAATATAGCTTTTGTAGGTTTTCGGACATGCTCTTTCTAAGGAGACCAGAAAATCTTCAAAAACTGGTTTTTTAGGGGGTTTATAGAGATCCGGTCTCTGGAAACTCTTTAGAAAACCACTTTAAAAGTTTTTGAACTGCATCATTAAATTCGCCATGGTCGAAAACCTGCCCAAAACTGGTTTTCTCAGTTTCTGGAAGGTCGAAGGTGCCATACTAAAACATCAGCTACAGCTTTAGAGAAAAACCTTGGAGAATCGCTGTTTCCAGCAAACTTCAGGAAGAGTTCGTCGAAAGTGGATGAAAGACACGTGATTAGATGCAGTTTTACACGCTGATTCCGAATCTGCCCTCAGTTTTTAGCTAAGATGCTTTCTGTCTGAGAAAACCGCGGAAAAAACAGAGTTTTGGGAAAACCCATAAATCTGGAACTGGAAAAAATTGCAACTTTTTGCTAGTTTTGTAGGTTGCCCACTTTCAGGTAAATAACTGCTAAAAATGTCAGCTTCGACAGACCTTTGCTAACCCTCGCGCACTCACTTTGCTGAGTGCAGCTTTTGAAAAAACACTTGGCGCCGAAAAAAGTTAAGTTCACTCACACAGGAAAGAGGCAACCTGAGACCTTTTTTTACCAGTCGATAGCCCAAACAATTAGCTTTCAGAATATATATCTTTCAAATTTACTCCAGTCAGAAAAAAAGAGTTTTTTATAGAACTTAAGAAAAATTAGCCAAAAATTGACGCTTGGCTTTCTCTGTCATCTTATGCATTTGGTTCAAAATTTTTTCGCTGTTAGATCCACCATTTAGTAGTGTATATATGACACTATTCAGATCTTGAAAAATCTCGCTTTCGATTTTTCCCCTAATGTACACCTGATTGTCCACTATGCGTTTCTGCATAAGTTGCACCACATTATTGGAACTATAAGAACCGCAGTTTTTAAAAGCATTTTTGAAGAGGAAAGCTGCTTCGAACTGCGCCCTAGTGACGTTCTTTTTCCAAGCGTATAGAAACTCATACCTAATCGATCTCTAGCTTTGTAGAAGGCTTTTAGCTTGTTACGTTTGATTCCACCATGTTTTACTCGGACTTTTCTTCGAGAACATGGTGCAATCAATTTTATAATGTTTCAGGCAACGAGACGATGTTTCCATCACGCCACAATTTCTATCTGAAAAGGAAAAGTCAATATTAGCATAGAGTCAGAGAAAGTACACAGTAATTTCGGCGCACCATGCTTCTACTGTACATAAACACCTCCTAGTAGTCATAATGTTAAACTATCTGATTTTCGGTATAAGCTGTGTAGTTTTCTTTTCAGAAACATTTCTTGTTCAGGTAAACTTAGCTCCAATTCACTGTGCTTCTCAATTCTAATTCGACACATGATTGAAAATGATCTTAAATTAAACGTGAGAGAGGTTGACGTCTTTTAGTTCATTCACTTGAGAGTTTTACCAATAAGGTTACGTTTGCCGTATGCGAAGCATCGAGCATTCACGCTTGAACTTTCAGCGAGTGTATACCCGTGGATATTATCGGATCAGTTCGTTACTAGAACCATACTAGCATCCTGTGAATGAGGTGGAATAGCCAAGCCCCAATCCTCTGTTCCTCCAACAGAACAGAGCTGATCTTCGCTACCTTCTGAAAGTCACTAATGGCAAATGATCTTACACCGGGGATACTCACATTTGTGAAGATATCAGCCTTGGCATTTTCTCACTTCTACGCATGTTTATTTTGAGACCATGCACAATCACTGTGTTTAACTGAATCTACTACAGAAAGAGACATCTTAGATTTTACGCATTATTTGAGAAAGATAACCCGGGAAGATAAAGAGGTTCCGTAATATGACCCAAGAAGGATATAGTTCAGCTCTGTGACTAAGGAGAAATTGGAAGAATTTATTTCTCTTAATTTGCTCTCTGCTTGTCACGGAAACTGCTGCGTACTTGCCTTGTAAAATACTTCATTTTTTTGGAATAATTCCTTTGAAAAACGAACAGAAACACTCGTAATCTGAAAAACCGATGAAAACCCCCCTATAGTTTCAAAAAATTTTGCTCTGATTTACTCCGATTTTACGATTTACCTCCCCATGCTGCGGACCTCTTCGCGCCGCCACTGCATTTAGCACTTTCTTTATTGTACGATCCTGAACTTACTATTAAGATTTAATGTAAAAAGTCTTTTGAACTTTACACTGTTTTATTTCAATACAGAAGATTTTTTTACTCAATTCTATTGCTATACTAATATTATTAGGTTTTCACGTGTTCAATTCGACTAATCATTAGCAAGTTCTTGTACAGAGAAAAAACTTTATATACTGAAATGACGCACGCTTTTTTTAAAATTTTGACTGTAATAACCGCAGCAGTCAATAAAATAAGAAACAAGAGAGTATAAAACTGCTATAGTTATCATTTCGATTTTATTCAAAAACACAACTGAATTAGATAATTTCGAGCTTTCATTAGAACTTTAGCGTACAGCGCTTTATCTTCTTTTTAATGTCGCATATAGAAATCTGTATGTGGGACATAGTGCGCATTTTGTCGTATGTTAGAAGATGCGTTATACGCTAAAGCTGTAATAAGTTACACTTATCATCATCAGGAAACATATGGAAAAAATATAACACACTGTGTATATAATATAAAGAAATTACAAGGAGAAGGACAAAGAACGAAGAAGAAGAATAAATTATACGAACTAGACTGTTCAGGAGTAGTTCTAAGAATGACGACAAAACAATCAGATTTTTTGAACTATTCGTGGATAGTTGTTCGTAGAACTTTACATCATCCGAAAAACATGTGCAGCAGGACATGGGGTACCGAATACTTTGAGTTTGTGTTTGACATCATTCAGTGATTTTTCATGACTTGTTTAACTAAACAGACTTTCTTTTGAACTGTTCGTGAATAGTTCAAATTCGTATAATTTTTTTTTATAATTTTCTTCTTCGTTCTTTGTCCTTCTACTTGTAATTTCGATATATATACACAGTGTGTTATATTTTTTCCATATGTTTCCTGATGATGATCAGTGTAACTTATTGAAAGCTCGAAATTATCTAATTTAGTTGTTTTTGAATAACATCGAAATGATATTTGCAGCAGTTTTATACTTTCTTGTTTTGATTCTAATTTATTTAATTATCAATTCATTAAATAATTGACCCGTGGTTACAGGAACGTTATTGTTTATTATAACTCGTGCATTCAAATTCTACTAATCCAGTGCTTGCGAATGTACTGGTCTTCGCAAATATTATACGATTCTGCACATACCTGCTATATTTATGAACGTTCTACTGTTTTAGAACACAATACGAAACTTTTGAGTCAATCCTCGTCACTCTTCATTTGTGAAAATTAACGTGAAGACAGAAACTAACAAAAAAAACATTTTTCTCATCAGTACTGCATGAGTAAAAGCGACAATATACATCGTCATCATCTTTAATATGGGAAATGTATTCTCACATACAGTTTGTAAAAATGCTTAAACGGTTTTTTGTGCACAATGAGTCGTTATTAACCAAACTCTTCATTCTACGGTACCAGATGTCGCTCAATCAGCAGTTTAACGAATTGGATACCCATATTTTATCTATCTTATCTCTTATGACATCATCATTTAGATGAGAAGAGAGAGGAAGAATTAAACTTCTTTCGTGCAAAATGAAACTGAGACTTTATAGTAGTAATAGTGTTGTCTTTTCCTACCTATCTATTGTCTACATCGCCTCGCTTCTTTCTTATTTTCTTCTGCAAGTTGTGTCATAATTTTATGTTATCTTCAATAAAAAAAAACCGTAAAAAGTGTCATATTACACTTGCGTGATTAACCTTTAGAACCTTTAGAGAACTATGGATTCAATTTCTTTTAGTTAACCAGCTACGTTTCGCGGAGTTTATTTTAATAATATACAACAATTTTACATGAAGTATTGAATATAAATTTGCAATTTTTTTATATTGTTTGTCAAAACTAATTGACTTGGCATTGTCTTAATATTGTAATGATCTCAATTTTTACCTACACATACTATAGAAATTGATTTATTCTACGTTTATTGAGGAAGAGAAAATAAAATCCTATAGTTTGTTTCGTAAACAAATCGATGGTTTACTTGTGCAATACGTTTCTTTGTACAATCGATATAGAAGTTTCTCATTAAAATATGAATATTTGTGTTATTATCAAGCTGTATCAGTCCTAGCACTATGAGCTTATTATTCTGAATGTTGTATTGATTTCATCCGTGATAACAATAATTCAAGTTTACTTTTGTTCAAACGATATCATCTACGATCAAATATTCATTGAATTTATGTGAAAAACTATTAGTAAAATAATTATACACCATGATTATTTCAATGATGTTTTATCAAGATTTTCCTTTGGTAATAATAAACTTTGGTTATGGACAAAATTTGAAAGATAAAGAGTGTCTAGTCGAAAATGAAATACAAACATTTACCCAATGTCACGATATGAAAATGATTTGAAATTATTCGGTTTTCATGCATCAACGACTAATTGGTCCAAAAGTTATTCCATAGTTATTCATCATCAACTGACTCATTACCATGACCAACTTATTAACTAAAAGCAACTTAATTGTAGTGAACTATATCGTCATTTAGAATATTAGAAGCTCAAATTAGAACATAAAAGCACAAAAGTATTCCTGAGAAGGAAGTAGTCTAGTCACATTTCTCGTAATGCAATTAGAATATTTCATACTCAACAGTAGAGATGTTAGTCGATCAGAAAGGAGAGAATGCTTACACGAACTAAAGCTCCTTCGACGGAAATGGTATAGAACACTCAGTCTTTTTTATTAATCGAACCAATGCGGGAAACGTTTCTAACTAGTGCACGACCCCATCTCTTTTTAGCGTATGTAACTGAAGTTAAAGAAATATAATCGTGGTTAGAGTGAGCATAGTTTTGCTTGAGTGTAGATCTTCATTCACTGAGAAATAAAGATAACTGATTTTTTTTTGCTAGTTCTAGCGAATTAATGTGTTTAACTGCGAGAAGTGTATATTTTTCATTCGAATGTGTATTTATCTTTTCTAACTAAAGATATTCTAATGTCTTATTCAATTTATTCTCTAGATAAACCTTAGCTCTATTATTGCGTTTTACTTTCTATTTCAGATTATTCAGTTGTCTCGTTAAAGTGTTTGTATCAACATTTTTGAGTTGAAAAAGTAATGATGTATCTTAGAATTAGCTTTGCATTATTTTTCATTCTCGGTAAGTTAATCAGCTTGCATGTTACATTTTTTGTGTCATATATTAATCTCGTTGTTTTTTAATTAGCGTTCATTGATTAAGTCCAATAAATGTATGCTAAATACATTTACAAGAAGGCTGTTTTTTTATCCCAAAGAAAATAAGAATCATCTTTTCAATACGTTCTAGAATGGTTAGATTCAGTCTTTAAACTAATTTTTACAAGTTAATACCTGGCTTATAAACAATACTAATGTAGACATATCTTTGGCTCATATTACTGCTAATACTCTGGCTCATGCTGAAAATTTTATCAATATTTACATAACAATTGGTATTGGCTATACAGATGTGACATATGATAGTAAGAACTACCATAAACAAATAATGTATTAGTTAATAATGTATAGTTTCGTGGTGTTCACTACACTTTGGCTAATGTCGCTCGATGGGCTTTTCTTTTCTGCTTATTGCTGCTTTTTAATAATAGTACTTACTTTTTCATTCTTTCTGTTTGATTATATATTTGTATCTCTTACGCTTTAGCCGTTGGAATAGCTACATCTCAAACAGACACAACGCAGTTTGTCTCAGTGGAGACAGCAGAAACATCAGTAACAACGACGACTACAACCACTACAACAACCACTACAACAACCACTACAACAACCACTACAACGACGACACCAACAACAACAACACCAACAACAGAAACTTCAAGTATATTCTACTAAAGCTTCTGTTTAATGAGTTGTTTAGTAACACAAATATGCGATTGTCCATTAAAATGCACGAAAGTATTTATCTAATTTCCTTTTCAGCAACGACGACGATAGTAGCGTCTTCCATAGAACCATTTTCAAATGAAACCACTGTTGAGACAACGTCAAGTCAAACAACTCACACACCAATTACCATGTCAAGTGAAGCATCTACCACAGCAGCGACAACTCACGCACCACCCAAACCAGGTAAGTGGATTGATTTGTGTTACTTCAAGTCTTAAAACTGTAAGAAAACTGAGCAAGTAGATCAAAGTAATCATGTAGTGAAGCTGTTTAACAAATATCGAAAGTACATGATGATAAATTTTATAAGCGATAAATGAATTTAATGCTTTTGTTCTTGTTTATTTGAAGGTCGAAAATTTGATGCATTAAGTTTCATAGGTGGAATGATTTTGGTTGCTGGAATTGTTGCACTTGCGTATTTAGTTGTGATATATCTAAGAAAAAGTGGAAGACTTCCATATTCACAAATCCGATAAACAGTTTGTCATATTTTTTATTATATCAATGTCCAAAATATGTCAATAACATTATATCTTTACAGTTTTTTTTTGTCATGAAAATAGCCCGCCCTATCTATTATTCACGACGCATTTATTTTGCTTCAGTGAGTCTATTATAGTCACATTTCTCAGAAATGATTTTTTTTTCTATCTATCTTTCTCCCACTTTTCTCAGTGAGAACTGAATGAAACTTTGTTTGATTTATCAACTGCTTTTCACTATTTATTCTTGTGATTCTTTCTTGAAACGTGTGTGTGAGACGGTGATTATATATTTATTCTCTTTTTTTCTTGTGCAATAAACACGAAATGCAAATAAGCCAAAACTTTTATAGAATACTTTTGTTTTTCTCAACAGTCAAGAGAAGTTTACAAATCATCAGCTTACTTTTGTTTTTCGGTCATTCTTACTTTTTTATTTAACTTCTTTTTTTTTATATGATTGTACCGTTTTTGTTCTACTGTATATTTCTTAAAGTAAGAACTTGATCAGATTGTTTAATTTTTTTAACAAAAAACTATTTTTTTGATTTCTTCTGTCGTTTCTAGACTGAGAATAAGAGAAAGAAATAGTGGAATGTATCCGGTTTTTATCACTGGATTTTAATTTGCATTTTTGTTTGTTTCTTTGTGTGACTCATTATTATTTGATGAAAGATAATTCAAAGTGAAAGATATTATTTGAACTGTCAATTCCCGTAGATATTCTATAAGTTATCGACGATTCCACTAATGTAGAATAGAAAGAGTTTTTTTTGCATATTCCTTTTATACACAAATACGATTTTTCTCAACTGACGAGGGAAGGCCACCAACTGCCCCGTCGCTTTTGAGTTCGGACTCTGTGCATAAGGTAGACCCCAGTGAGGTATGAAAAACCCCAAAAGGATAAATCCCCGCAGGTCTTCTATCCAGAGTTATAGC